TAGCAAGGGTGTGGGAGATCTCATACGTATTTCTATCTACCTACTTGCAAGTGTCGCGTCAAATCGTCGTTCGCTTTAAATTTTCATAGGAGATTCCCTGACGAATTCACTATCCAGGTGATTTCCACCACACTGTTGATGAAATCGCGCAATTTTATGTATTTCCGTGACGAAATAAAAAGTAATAAATTAGCAGTTGCGTCGCCAAGCGAGACATTTATCTCCGCGCAAATCCCCGGTGACTTTTGAATTAATTTTGCGTAAATCCCGTGTATGCACTACGTTAAAAAAATAAATTTCGCATGTGTGATTTTTTTTTTGGTAGAACTTCCTGTTTTTTTTCGCGCATCATTAACTAAACGAGGGCAGTGTAAACAATTTTGAAATCTAGACATTTTGCGTTAATTTAATATCTTATTATAAAATAAGATTTTTTAAATTTAAATTTATGTTAGTTTAAATGAACAATATTATTTTGTTACTTAATTCCATTAGAGACGATAAAATTGCCAAAAGCGTTTTATTCAATTTTATCAATTACAATAAAAAAAATATTGGAACTTAAAATTTATATAAAGAATTGGTTTCCGTTATTAACAAACTTGCAATTAAATACGATAAAGAACGCCAAGACCGGTCAAATTTTTTGGATGTTACAAATAATACATTATATATTCTTGTATTAAATTAATTTATTTCAGATATAATTGCGAGCCGATAACATTCGATTCAACACAATCATTCTGAAACGCTAATAATCCTCCCCAAATGAAATTAGAAAGAAAGAAAGAAAGAAAGTAAGATTATCTGGGGTCTGGGGTCGCAGTTATATCTGGAATAAATTGATTTAATAAAAGAATATATAATTTATTATTTGTAACATTCAAAAAATTTGACCGGTCTTAGCATTCTTTATCGTATTTGTATTCACATATACGGTCGTGCTTAAAATTCTTAATATATTTGCAATTAAAATTAATCCTCAACCATAGGAATGATTTCAACTTGAAGCAAAAATTTTTAATTTGTACAATTTGGTTGTGCAATCTGTACGATTAATATTACAAAGTCCTAAATTGTAGGTTAAAAAATTTGGAACCTCTATCAGTCCATAAAGTGGAGGTTCACTTATAAATGCTTATGTATACTTCAAACATGCTTTAAAATTTAGAGGTAGTTTTTATAGTTGTTAAGAGTGATACTTTTAGGATATTAATTTTAATTGATAACAGAAAGCTTATGCTTATTTACATAATTGTTTTCTATGCTATGAAAATCTCGCATAACATACATGCACCAATGCAACTGCGTTGCATTCAAATGCTTTTGATGCAGTTTCTGGTACTTTTCCTTGGTGTTTACGGGGCACTGGCGGCTCCTCATGCGCCCCACGTGAGTCATGATCCTCATCTGGATAATAATGCGGAAGTGATCTACGGGCAGCTTCCCGGTACCGAGAATCTAAACGAAAAGGCACTTCCAATATCTCACTTATTCGCCACAGAGTCGTATACTCTGCCAACCACAAAGAGGAATAATCTAGCGGAGAAAGCTCAAGTACATCAACGACTTCCCGGGACGGCAAATCTGACAGAAAAACGAATCCCTGATATCATCCTGAAGAGATTGTCGCAAGTGCTTGACGTCAAATAAAAAGCTGAAAATTGGAATCTAAGATGTAATACTTTATTCGCGATAATATTAAAAATATATTTGAATATATCGTCGCCATTAATATTACATATAAATTTCATGAATTTTTTTATTAAATGGGATTAAAGAAGTGTAAACACACATTATCAATATTGAAAATTTTATTGGAAAAAGAAAGTAAGATATTTAACCTGGTAACTACGTTATGATTTCATAACGATTATTATATCATTGTGCATATACATTACATTAATAATGAAGAGAGTTTAAATATTCTAAGAGAATACAAAATTATCAAAATGAAGATTTAATACATTCTATTGATCATATGATTTTTAGCATCGTACTGAAATTAATAGAATGATCAATCATTTTGGAAGACTTATTAATAAATGGATAAATAATTCAAAACAATTTTGTTGAAATAACACTTCGTGTCATACCTACACTGTTTCGTCGAAGATGGACCTACATTCATAATCATCACAATAAATTATTATATCATGTATTTATTACAAAATAAATAATTCTTACTATGTCGTAACAATGTATTTATAGAAATGATAAAACAATTCGCGGATAAAACCGCAGAAATAAATGTGCAATTCATATTTTTCTCTTTCTTTTTCTCTCCTCTTTTATTGTTATTATTTCTCAGAATTATTATGCACTTGCATATAACAATTCTAGACAGATAGAAAACTGTTTAATATAATTTGACACAGGAAATTAAGAAATGAATTTCTTTGACAATATAATTACTATTTATTTTTGCATCATTTATACTCTGTATTATTTGATTGATAGCAATATTGTCAATTTGTAAAACAGATTTTACAATATATTTCAATGCTAACAAAAATATAATAATATAATTATCTTTAGAATATTACGATAATGAAACACGGTAAATTGCTTTATAATCGGGAAAATAATAAGGAACAAATTAAATATTGATTATGTCAACAAATAATTTATTCTATTATCCTTCTGTTATTTTATGGAATCTCCAGTCTCTAGTTCTAATTTATGCTAAGCAAAAATCAAATAGAAATAAGATTAATTAAAAGCAAATAAATGGATCTCAAATTAAAATTAGTTTATTATATATTTAGAGTCTCATGATGGATAGTAATTAGTTTTTCGATGATATATAAAATGTGGAACGTTTCGATTTAATTTATATAATCTTCCTGAGTCTACAATTAAATCGTTATAATAAGTAAAAAAGATAATTAAAATCCGCATTAAACTGCATTAGTAAAATGATGTAGAAAGTCAATACAATATTTTATGGAAATTAATCATAAAGTTTTGCGAACATAACATTCGTCGGTAAAGATGAAAATGCTATTTTAGACGTTAATTTATAACTAAATTGAAATTGAGATTAGGTAGTATTATATATCGTGATTGTATATTTATAATTTTTTTATATTTAAATTATGATTTCAAGATATATCAACAGACAGTAATAATATCGACAGTCAATATACAATTCTCTTCGGATTCTTGGCGAAAAGGAGATGCCGGCAGTGTTTGTATATCGATTTTAGAATTTACTGCTTACGTTATTCGAAAGATAACGCCACAAACAAAATTTAGTAGAGTAATCTAAAATAAAAATTGAAAAGATAAAAGCATGTCTAAAATATCTGCATATTTTAATAACAAAAGATTTCCATTTAACTTAAATTTGTGTATCATCTTCAATGAATATAAGAGATGAGAGTGTTTATTAGATCTTTATGTTTATAATTGTGTATATTATGAAGATTTCGAATCCATACTGCAATGAAGAATGTAAATGTAGAACGTTTTTTGTAGGAAACATATTATTTAATTTATTTCTTGTCTAAATAATTTGTATTGCTTTAGAGATATTTGATTATTTAAATAGAATTATTATTTTTAATTGTGACATTTATTTCTTTTACTTTTCTCTTTTTACATTAAAAAGTGAGCATATTTTATATTTATATAAGTCAATGTGTTACGCTCTTTTAAGATTGACGTGCCATTCTTCGGCTTTTGTTATTTCGTACTTGCTGGACATTATTTTGTCGGTGAATTGCACCAAGTCATGGCAGTCCTTCGTACGTGTTAGAACTTTAATCCAGTCGGCGTTTGGATTTAATACACGCAACCGATTAACAACGAGATTACATAGGGCTCTACGTGCAGTCGTCGAGCTTATGGTAGCTTTAAACTAAAATTAGCTGAACTTCGCGTATCTTCGATACCGCGCCTTATTCCAACAGCGCCTCATGTTGATCGTCGAGCGCGAGGATAATAGGATTCAGCTCACTCGAAAAACTTGACTTAACCGCGCCTATCTATAAAATCTGCAACCTAGTAATACATATTAAAGTGAATCTCTGATATTCCTTGAAAATAGCGATTAAAAACTAATCTGTTGAGAAAATAATCCGTTGAACTACTTTAAGCTTAACCTTAATTTATAAGAGTTACATATTGATAAAGAAATTCTAATAAGTTTTTTATCAGCCATTCTGAATGTCAAATTATAATTTCTGAATTAATCACACTACAAAAAAAAGTACTTGTTTTTCTCCGAAGTGCGATAGTACATTTTCCAAAGATTTTTTCGCGCTGAACACGATGCCGTCAGAATTTGCGTAGCATATCAGAATTTTTAATGAATTGGAGTGGTTTTTAATTTATTTCATCCCCGAATTAAAAATCCTGATATGCTGCATAAATTTTGACGACAACATTCTGTTTAACACAAACAAATGTTCAGGATATATATTATGATACTTCAAAGAGAAAAAAGTGATTTTTATTGAACTATATAATTACTATATAATTATATACAGTATAGAAATAAGTCTAATATTCAAACAGTCATAACTGATAAAAATAAATACGGTCATAAACTAAAATTTATTTGAAAGCTCTGAAATTATATTTTGAGATGTTACAAACTTTAGTTAGAAACAAACTTTTATTTTGTTGTAAAAATCGTTCAAAAAAGACCAAAAACGCTATTTTTTAACTCTTTCACCTAAATTTACTTAAAATCCTGCTACGCCAATTTTACGACATCGCGAAAAAAATCTTTAGAAAATGTACTTCGAAGAGAATTTGTCTATTGAACAGTTATGTGATTCATTTAAAATAGTCAATATCAATTCTAAAGATTTCATCTAGAATAAATTTTTTTTTTAACAGTATGTCCTTCTTAAACAAATATATTTATACAATAATATAGAGATGGAGATTTATTTCCAAATTGCTTAAAATAGCTACATCCAACAAACGCTATTTTGTTTACAAAGTTCTTCTATCGCAATTACATATTTCGATCAAGTATGTGTTGCATCTCGAAACAATGCAGTGAAGATTGGCGAACCATTTCCGTGGGGCTTTATCTCCTCTTCGTGCACGCGCTATTACGTGCTATTATAGCGCGACATCTTCACGAAGTGTGAAATCTAATATTCACGCCGCACACAGGTTGTTGCTTCGAGCGCGTGCTCCTGTCCTCTCGCGTTCATATCCATGTGTGTACACCGACGCGCTCCGTTCTGCTCGAAACACACGCGATACGTGAGTTAGAAAGAGAGGGAGAAGAAGAACAAGAGAGAGAGAGAGAGAGAGAGAGAGAGAGAGGAGAGAAAGAGAGAAAGCATTCCCTCCTACGACCGCTAATCTTAACGGAAGGGGATGGTGTTTGCATGCACGGTTAGGGATTGCGCCGACGGGTTACGGTTTCGGGGGCGAGTCAAAGACACCAACCACACTAGTGCAACAGTAATGCCCCCCGGTCAGGTGGGTTAACCGGTTCCTAACTTTGACCGACGCTGCCTGTATTCGCGAAATCGGTCGATTAAAGCCGTCCACACACGTACGCACGCAAAATCCACACAATGCACTGTGCATTCAAACACGATAATTGTACTGTTAAGCAGATAGAGATCCAAAGATTTATAGATCAACATTGTGATGCCCGCGTGAGAAATCATACTTCAACTTAACATTAATGTATCTAATATTAATAATAATAATTTCGAATTCCTAATGAAATAACATATGAATAAATAAGACGCGCAAAAAGAGAGAAAATAGGGATAGATTACATATTTAAATAAAATTATTTTATAATCAAATGGATTTTATATAATATAATGGACATAAATTATTTATACTTCCGTATAAAAAAGTAATTTATTCGTCTTTTGAAAAGGCTGATTACATGTCTATATGTTTATTACATGTCGAAGAAATTGTGATAGCATTAAAGAGCACTGTGGTAGCGAAAGGGCATTACTCGCTTTCAGAGTATCGGATTGCGATTGGACATGTAGTGCTATAGTTTCGATGGACAGAAACACTATCGCTGATATCGTTGCTTGGAAACAAAGCTAACTGCTCTACATTTCTCCATTGAATAACAATACGACATAGAATGTTGTTTAATATATCCTGCTCTTTTATTTTAATACTCTTATCGAAATCCAATTTACTAGTTGAATTGAAAGTTATTTTGAGTATTAAAAGCACTAAATATAACAATACTTTTAATATTTAAAATATTAAAAGCATTGTTATATTTAGTTTTTTTAACACTTAAAATATTAATTAATCGCTATTTTTAGTAGATATTAAATTTTTTATAACAATTGCTATTTGATCACGGAAAGAAAATTACACAAAGAAATCCTTATGTTAAGAAGCAGTAAATTAAAGTTTTTTAAGAAATTTCAAGTAATACATTGAAATTTTTAATTTAAATTGAAATAATAGAATTTTTTTATATATTAAACATTTATTATTTTATACAGTTAAAATATATAGTATTGCAACAGATACAGTTTGAAAGGTGTTTAGATATAAGTATAGATATTTTGTGGGAAAAGTATTTATTTATGTATATATAAGTATTGATATATTTTAAAAATTACTTGGATGTAGATACAGGTACAGCATAAAAGTATCTGAAAAATTTAGATACTTTTTAGATATTTTTAACAACAAATAATGATAAAACGAAAAAAGGAAAACGAGCTTAAATAAGTTTATTTTGTATGAAACTTCTACTTCTGTAATACATACAAAAAAGTTTAGATAATGAAAATTATAATAATTTGTACATGTGCCAGCGCGATGGACTATCGTGTATTTTATAACATACTTTATTTTTGATTTTTATTTGAATCTTTAAAGCTGTTTGCTTGACCTTTATTCGAAGTGACAATTTAAAAGTTCTTTAATAAAAATATGAAAAAGTAACAAAAACTTAGTTTCAGTTTAATTTCCAACTTATAATGGTAAAAATGTAAAGACTAAAAAAACTTAGTTTCAACTTAATTTCCAATTTGTAATGCTAAAAATATAGAGACTACAAAACAATACTAACTTATTAACGTAACAAATTGCGACTTTTCCTGCATCCATAATAGACTGTATAGAGCTTTGGTGCTTGGGATCAATCAGAGGAAACTGCATTACGTGACTAGTTTGCTTTCTTCCTATGAGATTTTTTTAGTTGCCAGTATTCATTAAATAATAAGAACTAAAATTACCTAGACGGTGATGCAAATAAAAGCACTTGTACAAAGTTGAGAATTAGAAAAAAAACGAGAATATATCATAATTAAAAATTAAGTTTCTAATGACATAAAAAATAAATGAATAAATAAATACCTTATATCTATATAAAAGAACCTAAACTTAAAAGATACAAAAGAGTACCCGGGTACAAATACAAGTATCTTTGTCTATAAGGATCTAGATAATGTGCATCTAGATACAACTACAGTATCTGGATATTTTTACCTAGATATGTTCAATACTGATTACATAGTAGTTAAACAATTGTTAAGTAAATCAAGATTTATTATTTAGCTATAAACTATTATCACAATTTTTCTTATAATAAAATCCTTAGAAATATTATTTTTTAATTTTATAAGAAAGATATTGTGTGGTAAAATATTGATAATTCCATACAATAAGCTTGTTTGAATGTAATTATATCTTTTCAAGCGAATTTTACAGTACATTCGACATTAAAGGAAAAATATTCCCGGCACATAGTCTTCTAAAGCTGCACGTTTAAAATGGTACATACATTTTAGCGAAATAGTCCTCGCTATGAAGTCATAACATTTTAAGTTGTACACGGAGCACGTGAGGAGATTCATTAATGGAAAATGCGGAGTAGCTGGGTAAACACGCATGTTGTATACGTGCAATATCGTTAAGAGTAAGCTCTAAGCGCATTTATGTAAACACATGTCGTAAGCGCATTTAACGGAAAAATCAAGAAAAAATTTAGGAAATATTTAATGATATAAATCATAGTTCTTTTTAAAAACGTCAACGAGTTTAAAGCTTTTTTGAATTATATCTTCTTGGCTTTTTCCTTTCTATTCTATAAAAATATTCAATCTATAATAAATAAGAATCCATAATTGATAAATGCAGATTGAAAACATTATTTAAAATAGCAATTTGCAATTTATTAAGAAAACATTTCTCTAGAAATAAAATAAAGTATAAATAAAAAATTGTAAATTTAAAAAAATTATAAAAATATAAAAATATAAAAATATAAAAATATTATTATTTAAATTATAATAAAACTTTTTCTAGTTTAAAGTTTGTCTGAACTTTCAACAAATTGTACTATAATGTAAAATGTATTAGAAAATTAAACTTTAATCTGCCTAACGAGATTGAAAAATTTTCCCCAATGATACTAGCGATTTTCTGTCATCCTCTTGATTCTCTATCCTCCTTTTTTCTTTTTTCCTTTTTCAGAAAGTTATCCCATCTACCCCTAGGGGACAATATCGTTTAAAAACCATTGATATAGATATTCGAAAGTATATATATCGTGACACGCGTATATAAAATTAAAATTGTATAGTTACAATATAAAGTTAAAGTTTTTAATATTTTTGATATTACGATTTTTATACCTACATTTGTATTTAATGTTCAGTAATTTAATTCTGTTATTGTAGAAAATGTATTTTTTAATGGAACGACAATCGATATAAAAGTCCAATCTATTTCTGAGATTTCTACGGATGCAATATTACGGTTAAAAAAACATATTTTGAAAATGTTTGATACTTAAATATTGTAGTAAGTAAATGGATAATGATTGTTACATAAATAGGATTATTTATGTACATACATATTTGTGGAATGAGAAAACCACAATCACGTTTAAACGATGGAATCCACTATTCCTCTACTATTTGTCGATTAAATATTGACATTTATAGGATTTCGAGTGTGCAAAAAGGACGATAAATTGTCTTGTTTTTTTAAATATAAAATAACTTGAAATAACTATTAACTCACAAAGAATATCTATCTTATTCTCAAAATAATTTGACTTTTCTGATACATTTAAACAAATATGATTCTTGATGAATTTGTTTGGCATTCAAATAATTCAAATATAGCGAACTTTAAACTTATATCGATTTTATATGACTATTAAGAATAAAAATAATGTTTTTTTATATAACTACTTTTTTATTAAATCAGTAAAACAGTTTTTAACATGATTTTATTTTTATTTTATTTTTGATAATAATGTATACATATTCTACAGAATCAAATTTATTTATTTTATATATTTTTTTTTATTAATAAATAAAAAATGTCTTTATATGTCATACAAATAATTTGTTATTTTGTAAATAATAATATTATTTTAAAATAAAATAAATCATCATTATATAAATAATTTAGGTGTTATAAAGATTATATGCTTAGCCTTTAGACTTATATATCTCGTTCATAGTTTACATAATAAATGTCATGCTTTTAAAGTAAACTTTACCATTGAGTTCTAAAAATATATACTTATCATCTTTAACTTCCATGACGACCGATTCTTTGAAGTACCTAGAAAGTTGAAGAGTCAGGAAAGGGAACTCAAAGAAGGTTCTATTTTCTATCGTCAAACCCGGCGGGCTTCTTGAATCGTCGTTACTCGGAACAAGGGACGTAAAGTGTCTTTGCATTTGATTCGTAGTTACAATGGCGATTGCCTTCGCCAAAGCGCGACTGCAATTCGCTATTGTTCCTCAGCATGTTGCCTCGAAAAGGGCATTTCGGAGAAGCACAACTTCTCAAGACCCGTTGGGGATCGACAAATCGTGTAATATTTCGATCATATCGGATATTAAGTTGGAGAGTTCGCGATGAGAGATACAATATTGATCAAATAGTCCAAAACAATTAAATTTATAGCTAAGGGAAAAGTAGGTCATCTTTGATAGATTGCAAATTAATAAACTGAAATGCCACAAACGCGCGCAACGCGTTTATTTCCTCTAAAATCAGTAATTTTTAATAAATTAAATAAATATAATAAGAAACATAATTTTAAAGACATAGGTTTTATTTAAAATAAAATATTTTTTGTTTTAAATTTATTTTAAATTTAAATTTTTTGACAATAAAATATTTTCTAAAATAAAGTTTAAAATATATTTATTATTATTTTATTCTTTTATATTACGCAAAGATTAATCACATTATCTATAATTTCATTATATCG